AGTCAAACATATTTTAACTTTTTCTTTGTACACAAGGAAACATTTAACCTGGAACATGTAAACAAAACAAATGGTTTAACTCTGATATTAGGAAACCTTCTTAAACAGCAAGACATTGCCTGTAGTAAAAATATCTTACAGCAAAGAAGAAATGGCTCATTTTGCAAAAATTTAACTAAAAGAATAGACATAGGTTTTTATCACACATCCCAGAATTTAATACAGTTTTGTTGTCTAGTTAAATAACAAGAGCACAGAGCAAATTTTAACCTATAAGCCTTGTGCCTCAGAAGAATAAAATCTAGTTATTCAAAAATTTGGTGGAAATACTTTCAATAGTGTCTATTGTTATTAATCTAGTTAACCACCTTCTATGAGCCTCTGCCTCTTTCTTCAGTCTACATTAGTCTGTATGAGACTAGATGATTATTTCCACACAAACTTCCCATACTTTGAGAAGGCTAACATATAGTATAATTTGCCCTTGGACATTTCATCCCTTAATATTTCTGTACTTGTAGGCTCATCTAGACAATGTAGGTAGGGGATGACAAGTTCCCTTATTTTCTCTACTGGCATGTTCTGAGAATAAATAAACACAAGAACAGAAAAATTAAACACATTACTTTGTAGTCTTTTACCCAAAGCATTTTTTTTGTGGTCTCAACTATTTCATTGTCTTATACCTACCATTTCAATGGCTGTCCTGAGTTTCAAATGTATTTTGTGCTGAAAGAAAACACTTGCTTTTGCAGAGTTTAAAAATATACACATATATTTATATAAATACTCACGAATATATTCATTGATAGGTTTATTTATATTCTTATTAGTCAATGTATATATTTAAGAGTTAAGGCAAATGTTTTAATTATTTCCTCATTTGTCATAAATCCATACTCTGTCCCCTCATGATTATATTTTCATGTGCTGAAAAGAGTTGATTAAATGTTTTTATTAAGGAAAATAGGATATAAAAGCATTTTAAATGAAAAGGTTATATTTAATGACTTTATTATATTGGAAGGAGGAAGATTGTTATTAAGAAAGAATGCTACTAGAATAATCTAAATCTTTCTTCTTTGAAAATTGTGAAACATCACAGGGTCATGGGAGGGACACATTGCTGTATGGATGCTGACTGGGCCAAGTCCCCTACAGAGGCCAGGGTTCCCAGCATAGGTGTTTTAGTGACGTGGTTAGCAGGTGTGCTGTAGCCAGAAGCCCCAGGAAGCATGGGCCTTTTGAAGTCTGCCAGTCAAGGGCACTTGATTTTGGTTCCCTCCATATATCAAAACACCACAGGACATGAGCTGGAACCACTGAAGTACTGAAATTTGTCTCTCTTTAAAAACTGAAAGTTGTTTGAAATGTTTACTGCTGAAGGATTTTGAGCATATGCCTGCGTTCAGCAGTTTGTTTGGACTGTGATTTAGGAACTTTGGGGTTTGGCTGCCACATTCACCAGAGCATTAGAATTTGGGGCATGTCACCAAATATCCTCCTGTTAGTTCTTCATCTGTTACATGAAAGTATTAAGCTTGACTTGCAATTTTATATTCAAAAAGCTAATAGGAMCCTATACACATTACAATCCAGAGTATTGAGCAGCTCTAGTGAAAAGCCATTCTGAAAACACCAAATAGAATTAATAAAGCCCCTAAGTTTTAGAAATGATTTCTAAATATTTCATATCTTTATCTGATTTTGTCACAATCTTTGCCCCTAATTCCTCTGTTTGAGTTGTATGTTTTAAATGTAAATAATACAGAACTCATATATAGACCTAAGACTCAATATTTGGAGTTTTAACAATAGAAAAATCATTTTAAAAAGAAGTTTTGAAAATAAGTTACCAATCAAATTAAGCATTTTCAGAGAAAGTAATTTCTTGTTTCAACGTCTTAATGTGATGTTTCTGAATTGCTGCTTAGGAGAGTGAATAAAGGCACTGAATGGAGAAGGTCACCTGAGCTGTGTCTAGGCTGTTAGCACAGGGTGCAGTTGGACGTGTTACCTGTGGGTCTCTTTCACACTTACTATGCTACCAGTCTTGGAACAACATGATTAGTATCTGCACAGTCACCTCTTTCAAAGGTCTAGTGATAGGCCACCCAGTAGGAAACCCATTCTTATCTGAGTGAGGTGATAACTCATTGACAGAAAAGTCCCCAACTATGATCCATGAATAAGGGCAGTTCTCATGATATTTTGGATATTTCTTCTGTAACTGACAAAAACATTTAATCATTTTGTGCTATAATAGTAGAGTTCAAAAATTGATATTGTCTAACAATACATCATAAATTTATAAATGTGGCTTCTAACATGTATTGATGTGCTTCAATTCATMTTCTATTGAACATTTTAAAAGATTTTGAAATGGAAGTAGAAAACAATTATTTTTGTACACTAAACATTACAGATGAAGAACTTATACAGCTGGGGAAAAATGGATTTTAGAATCAGATGAACCTGAGTTCAAGTCCTGATTCAGTTACATTTGATCCTGGACAGTTAAATTTTCTAAGGCTCAGTTTCCTTTTCTGGAAAACAGGGACAATAAAATTCTATACTCTGGAAAACTGTACAGATTATAAATAACACAGGTAAACCACTTGGCACATAGTAGATACTTAATGACAGCCATTTTTCTTCTCATATATTACTGTTGTAGTAGGAATACCTAGAAAACCTCTTACAGGGATAGCTGTGACTGTCACCTGTTGTCTCATTCTGGATGCCCAGCCTTGGTGCTTAATGATTATTTGATGAATGAATAAATGTCAGTGTGAACAGATATTTAGGCCAGGTGATTATAAGAACAGTACATTCAATTGACACAATTTACTTCATAGCAAAAAGAAACATGCACTAAAGATCTCTTCAATATTTAGCTCATCAAAAGAGTTACATTAATTAGTAACTCAACCCATTTTCATAACCAGCTGCACAGCAGACCTAAGTACATTACTTAGTATTTAATTTTATTAGGTTAAATAGTTTAAAAATTCTTACTAACTTAGATTTTAATTAAACATATGTTTTCAGGTTAGCTTGAGCATCATTGGTCACATCATTTCATTACTAGTCATTTATTCTAGTTCTTTTTTAGTTATATATATGCTAAAGCTTCTCTTATATTAATATCATTTTAACCTTTGTGCTTTGATACCATCATGACTAGCAATTGAAGTCAGATGTTTTACATAGATACATGGGACAGAAAAATAAGTGACCTTATTTTATCTTATATAAAATAAGCCTAAAGTTGGCATCAGAAGAAACAAGAATGTTAACAAACATTGGTCTTTTCCGTTATGGATGAATTGAAATATATCACTAATAAAATACATATACTTTGCACATATGAATTTTGACCTGAAATTAAGTAAATTGAGGTAAGGGGTATGAAAACTCTCAAAACTACATCATATAATGAGACTACCAATGTCTCATCAAAATGATTGAATGTGTGCTCACTGAATATGGTACATTGTTAAATAGTTATAGAAATCATGTAACTTTAATTTTCTATATGTATAAGATTAAATTTTTGTGTAGAATTAATGAAAAAGGAGTCAGTGAACAGCTGGAAGCCCCTTATGGGATAACAATTCTGTTAAACACATAAAAAATAAAGGTTCATAAGATTCCTTAAACTAAGAATATCAAGAAGGCACTAATAATTTTGAATATCTTCTAAACCTTGTATTCTTTTAACACAAGAGGTCACTGGACAGTTCTTCATTAAATACTGACATCAACACAGAACATAAAACCAGGTTGTGAAAGATGGCAACACCAGGAAGAAAACACTTTTGGTTTTACTAYAGCAATAGACATGTAGAGTATCCATTTTCAGCATGGTGGTGTGATACAGTCCACAAAATCTAATGGTAGTTGATTAGTAAAAGCCTTAGCAGTTTTCTCATTTCCAGGAGCAATCTGGTTTTTAAAGCTTGCTGTTCTCAAATAAGAATTATAATAACTCTGCAGTCATCTTTTATTGCCTCCCTGTCATTTCCCACAAATCTGAAATCATTAGTGTTGGGCTCTTAGTAGTTTTTCTAATGTTTTCATGGTCAAATTTTCTGAAGTCTCAACGAATTCATCTCTTTAGTGCTTCCATACAGTTTTTATAATGATTTCTGAGGACTCTATTGCACAAAACATAGTTCTTTTTCTAATGTGTCTACTTTTACATAAACTTGTCTCCTTCACTAATAGTGGGTGAAGATTTACATTAAATTTGGGTTCAAAAACCTTAGTGTCAATGGTAAAATAATGGTTTAGTTCTATAAGAAAATTTAAAGCAATTTCAAGATCAAAAATTCTGGAAATCAGGTTTTCAAGCCTTTTTATTAGAAAACTTAAATTATTACTTTTTTTWAAAAAAGAAATAGCCAATATTCATTTTTGAATTTTCTCAAACAAATTATAATAAAGGATAGCAAACTAGGATAAGAAAACACATTAGAAGACAGCTTCCTACTTCATACAACTTCTAGTTACTTTTTCCTATCCATTCACCTATTTCTGTTCAGCAGCAAGAAATATAATATCCATTTATTTTTGCCTTTTTGGATTTTCCAAGATGAGCTTAATTTACCTGAATACAAACAAAAGCAAGGGGAAACGGCTTCTATATTGGCATAGACCAGGACATGTCTCATAACCAGAAAACCCTGCTTTCTATGGCTTTTTTTTTTTTGCAATTTATAGTCCATTGGTTATAAAACCAACTAAAAGTTGAACAATATTCAAAATGACACAGATTGATAACAAATAACAGAAACATATGGAATCCCCTTAGCTATTATTCTTTCCAATAGACAAATCCCTACCATTCTGTAAATAAAATTATAAATACTAAAGAAATGAAGAAAATTTCACAATGGGGAAAGGATCATTTCTTATAATAAATATTTTGGTACAAATTTAAAAAAACCGTAGAAAAACTTAGTACCTTTGGGTACTTTTTTCTAATAAAACCATACCTGCTTCAGAACTTGTTTGATTATAGCTGCTAACAATGCTGTTTGGTATCACTGGAGTGGAGGACGTTGAAATTCTTGACTGAGGTGGATTGGGATGTAATGAATTTCCTAAAGCCATGCCCGACTGACTGAGCATCCCACAGTTCCCGCTAGCCTGAATCTGATTTATTAAACCTGCAAGATGGTGATTGGGGACTGGACTGTTACTGTGAACAAAGTTAGTGTTTGCATTGTGGCAGTGCACGGCTTCCCCTCTTAAAGGTATGTTCTGTGTCAGTGAATTCTGAAGAACACTGGAGTTCATATTGGGATCTGTAAAATGCAGCTGGTTAGCAGAGCAAGGCAAAGCAGTATTTGAGCCCCCACAACCCGGGGTACTATTGCTACTCAAGTGAGAGCTTTGACAACTCATAGACTGTAGTAACTGAGACATTGAACTGATGGGAAATGAACCCTGACCCTGCTTCCTCAGCAAGTCGGGTCCAGGTTTAGGAACTGCAGAACTATCCATTTGAGACTGTCTTAGCAAACTCAACACTGTGGTAGGTGGCTGTTTTCTTTTCCGTAATGAGTCTTTTTGCTGAGACATCAGCTTATCTCTTAGTGCTGCGCGACCACTTTGCCCTTCACCTGTTGGGAGAAGCATGTTGGCAGTAGGAGGGAACATGGTGTTTAAAGTGCTATGTCCTTCAGTGTTGCCACTGCCGGCAACAGCTCCAGAATTGCTACTGCTGCTACTGTTGTTACCAGCAAGTTTGTTTTGATTTGCTAGCTGTGCTTTGGCTGCTGCTGAGAGTAAACTACTTGCTGGAAAGGAGGCAGCATTGTGCTGGTTCAAGATCTGATTTAAAGGCATTCCCAGCAAACCAGGCTGACTCTTTACAGAACCACTTCCGGCAGATGCAGTAGGAAAAGCTGCACTGCTTGGGGTATTTAGTACATTACTCATTCCAGCAATTAATGGGTTAGGGATATCCTTGTACTGATGATGTCCATCGGACTTGGTAGAAGGGCTTGATGGCATTGATGGCCTTGGGGACCCTATAGTTGACCTTGGTGACCTGGGTGGAACCTTAATACCACTACAAGTGGCCTGGGGTCCTACAGGTGGCATCATGAAATTTCCATGATCTGATGATGTGGAAGATGAGCGTGATCTTTGGGGCGATGCCTCAATCCTTCCAATTCCAGTCCCCATCATGTGCACTGGGGATGTCACTGGAGAAGGGGACAAGGAGGTTGAAGCTGAATGTGGAACTCTTTGTACATGACTCCCATGATTCATATGGCCAGGTTTTACAGTTGGCAAAGGGAGATTACTTGGCAAAGGAACAACAGCAGGAGGCATGCTTACATTCATCACAGGTACCTGAGAGTGGACATTTGAATGGAAACTGGTTGGATTAATGATAACAGGGTTCTGATTCACTGGTTTACTAGGAATAGGGTCAAGAATGCCAAGTGGATCTTTCTCAGATGTTAATGGCTTTTTCTGAAGAGCACAAGAAGGTGGAGGAGGGGGTGGTGGGCCTTGGGGTGGTTTGTGGTGAAACATTGCTCGTGGTATTTCCATATTAGTTGAAAAATTACACATTGGTTTTTTCATTACTGGACTCTTTGTAGTCAAAGTTGGGGAAAGAGGTATATTAGTCCTTCCAGCCATTGCACAGGATGACTGTACAGGAGAACCATGTAGCATTACTGAAGGTGGAGAAAGAGGAGTCCTATTCAGGTGAATAGGACTAGAATTGGGAGCTCCATGAAAACCAGGATTATTTCTTGTGAAAACATCAGGGCTTCCAAGTGGGTCAGTCCGTGGAGAGATTGAACCATCTCCATATATCTGGGAACCTGATGATGCTGGGCTTGGCAGGCCTCCATGGCTGCCACGGAATGGAGATTTCTGTCCGTGTTCACTGCTGCCCAATCTCTGCCGGGGGTAGACAGGGTGGAGTTCTTGTTGCTGGCTTCCAGGCAGTTCTTGTACATATAGCCTTCCCATGGCATTTGACGATCCAATCATCAACTTGAAAGGATTCTTACATTCAGGCATTACAGAATTTGTAATTCCTTCATGAGACTTATTTCTTATTGATCTTGGAGTTGCTGCCCGTGAAGGTACTACTGGAGTTGCATCTGATATGAAAGAGAAAAAAGATTCTTTTAATAGTTTTCTTTCTTTTGTGTTGGCAGGGAGGAAAGGAAGGAGGAAATCAGGAAGAAATAGGAAAAAGGTCATCAGGAAATACAAATTTGCAAATAAAAATTATGATTCTATGCAATGAAAAAAGGTTCTGCAAACAGCTACCTTAAACTTTGATTTAAAAAATGTACTTTATTCTCCTTAGTTGACCAAAGATTCTCAGTAATTGTTCATTAGTCTTGTTTACCTCTTTTCTGTTGAGAAAGCCTAGGCATCTAAATCAGTACATACTGACATCAGTCATYCTAATAAGATTTAGAATATGCAAAATCAAGACTGACAGCCCAGATGGAAGTGGTGATGTTACTATCTTATTGGATTTAAAATTTTTGAGTGCACAGTTACAATTGGAAATCGTAATCTGTGTGACATATTTATTTTCTTGTATAACTTAAATGAATATTCATTTCTATAAGAAAATTTGTTACTCTATAAATGCATCTATTACCTTACTGAAACCTTCTCTGGACAGCTACAGTAATATTTCCTTATCTCAACATTTTCACTCTGAGAGAGTAAGACTCTTTATTTTTGTGAATTACATGAATGGGACTCTGCATCTTTTAAAATAGGAATGATAACAAGAATAAATGCAGTGATATTATAATCATTCTTAGCTTCATGATGTCTACAACACTGTAACACTATAATTTCTTTGCCCTTTGTCACTGTTGTCAAAATGGCTTTAATCAACCAATTTAGGTAAGAGATTACAAATCTTTTATTAGGATAGAATTCTAATGTAAAATTCAATGGAGTGCTAAAACCTTCAGTACTGGGCTGCTATTGAGAATTCTCTTTTTACATGAATGCATTTCTCCCTCTCTGGCTTTTTGGAATCCCTTCAGTTCTTTTGGAGATCAGACAGAATAGAGGCAACAAAAGCAAGCTGGTTCATCATACAGAATTTTCACTCTATCATGTCAGAATTCTAGGTTTCAGTTTCTAAGCCCCTACGGATGTTTAACTCTTTCATGAAGTTGTACCTTCTAAAACAGAGATGGCAAATAAAATTTGTTTCATATGCCAATTCCCATCAATTTATAGAGGCTGGTTACAGAGCTGTATTGAAAAGGATGCTAAGCTTAGATGGACTCTGTAAGAAAATGTCAATGAGTCTGTCAGGTCACAGGAGATGAAAGTCATACCCTTCTTACTATATATTTGCCATAACTCTTTATAGACCAAAAACATATTAGCAAATATACTTAGATTCATTTGCAATCAGAGGTATACTTATATAAAAGGTGAAATGCACATTTAAGATAAATACTTCTACTTGCTAGATAGTATACAGATGAAATCATATAATAAGGATTTTTACAGTAGTCAGTCACAACCTGGGACATACAGAAGTCAAGGTAGAGTACATTCAAGTAGAAAGCAGTGAACAGATATTTTCTTGGAAAATGCAGACTTTCTAATTCTAGCATGGTAGAGGTTATTTAATAAGGTAATTTTGGGATATAATATAGAAAATGTTGAGAACCAATAACATAACAGAATGGGAGCAGATAAAGTCATTTGAAGCCTATTTTTAAAGTTTGTAATTAAAGAAATAACATTAAAAATATGTAGGGTACTATGCTTGCAATATAGTAACAACAGTTACATGTAATCATATCACTAGAATTATAATGGGACTGGCTGTGTTCTCTTTAATCATAATCACTTGCTTGCATCTTTTCTCAGATAAAAATGTATTCATATAATTATCTATAGTTCAGTGATTAAAAATAATATGAATATTGGAATTTTTATATTCAACGAACAGAATTTAGACAATCGCTGTGTTTTAGAAGGAATTTTGTCCATATTTAAGGCAAAATAGTTATCCTCTTTAAAGTAACAGAAATACTAAACAAACTAGCAAAAGTCAGGCTGAGGCTATATGACATTTAGGAAATAAGGTATACAAGAGTTGGCAAGTGTAAATACCAGGCACCCACTAACATTCAGGTAGACCTTTTAAAGAATAAACAGTAACAATGTAAATGTTTATATATTTATTTAAAGGGAGATAAAAGCTACTATGTGAGACTTTTGATTTTTAATTATTAAACCTCAACTTCATGAAATAATTTAAAGTTATGAAAAAATTGCTACTGCTGAAGAGAGTAACAATTAATCCAATGAAGTGTACCACTTAGAAGGCATAGAAATATACCAATTATTGCCTATACTAATTCAATATTTATCCTTAATTTCAATAATTAAATTTGTATGTATAGGTATGACAAAGGACTTAGATTAAGATTCTTCTGGGTCTTAAGAAAGGCAATAAGGCAGACTGTAGAAAAAGGTAAAACTGTATGACATAATGTGATRTGAGATCAACAGCAGACAAAAGTATGTTCAAAAATACATTCAGGATAATATGCAAAAATTAAAACATCAAGGTGGCAGGTTAATGGCAAATTTTAAATAATTTGTTATTMTTAAACTTATGTTTAAATTGTTGCAACTCTTTTAATTTAAAAATTGTACCTTATTAAAAGAATAACATTCCCTAAAAGTTTTTTTTCCTTATATATCTTAGTATATAGAAGTGGATCAATTTGTAAAAATTAGTCCCGTTTATATTTAAAGGTTAGAGGGTTGTTGGAAAGAGGCTTTATGCTTATAGTTGCAAAATCTGTCTCTTCATCTGAGTTCTAAGTCAGAGATTTTGATTACCTGTATGATGTAGCAATTGTTTTTTTAACATTCCAGGCTCTCGATAGTTTGGCCGCAATTTATTATACTTCTTTTATCTTCCATTCAAGTTAGGTTAGTTTCCACATTATACCTTAATTATGTCACACTCATTCTGAAGAATAATTTTCCTATTCCCTTCATATGCCTAAATCCTATTATTTTCCCAAAGCTGGTCTAAATCAGGGTTCTGCCATGAAGCCTTCTCTGAGCTCTACAGGTCACATTCATTGTCCCTATTTTTCAGAACTTTGCAGAACACTATCAATTACCCCTCATCAACTCAWGCTTTGGTGCTTGCCATATTTTATTCTGAACCACTAATCAAGTCTTAAGCAGATTGTAATATTTTAGAGGGAATTCATATTCTTGCCTTTACAAAAAGAGGTTCCTCTATCTCAGAGTATAATGGCACAAAGCACATACTAATCACAAAGGGAAAAAGGGTACTTTACAATGGAAAAATTGGATGGACACAAACTTAACCAAGCAATCAAACAGTGTCATAGATATGGGTGAAGGTGTTTATCCTGATGAGGATATAACTTCATCCATGCAGAATTCCTATCAAATGTGTATTACCTGAGTATGAAGAAACCATCAGGCAAATCCAAATTGAGGAACAGCCTGCAAATCTGGTTGGCCTGAACTCTTCAAAAATTTCAGTCCCATGAAGGACTAAAAACACTGGGGACTCGATATAGATTAAAGAAATGTAACACTAACTGCAATGCACCATCTTTGATTGCATTCTGGTTTTAAAGTCAATTTTTTAAAAAGTGAWAAGAGATATTGTTAGGAAAACTGGAGAAATTAAAATACAAACCTCATGTTAGACAACATTTTTATATTGCTGTTAAATTTCCCAAATGTGATCATTAGATTGTTGTTATGTAGGGAAATGTCCTTGAGGGGTAAATTGTGACAATACCTGCAACTTTCTATAACAAAATATAAGTGGTTTTCTAAGCAAATGGTAGATGGCTACTTAATGAACCATCCTTGCACTTTTTCTGCAGCTTTTAATTTTTGAAAAAAACTGTGTGTGTACTGGGGTTGTGGCTCAGTGGTAGAGCACTCACCTATTACATGTGAGGACCTGAGTTCGATCCTCAGCACCACATA